ATGGCTGCGAATGAATGTGAATCGTTGGGAATGGAGGCGAATGGATGAGAATGATAGAGAATGGTTGGAAATGCCCGAATAGCTTTTCCCCCTTGGGATATTCTATATTAATCAAATGGAGAATTGAGTAAGTTGAAATTTATATTAGAAAAGAAACAATAGTTCATACTTCATAAATGGATCAATATTATTCAGACTCATTCATATTAAAATTATTCTTTTTTATATGATAAAAACTAACTATCGTTATTAACTTCAATGAAAATTTACAAAATTTTCTATTCATATTTACTCGAAATGATATCGAAATATCAGTTGTTCATATTAATTCTAATCGATATGATCAAAAACAAAACTATCTATCCATATTTGATTATATCGAGATTATGCTTCATCATATAGACGATATATTTACCTAAATGTATTTATGTAAGATGGTTAGTATTGTCTATTCTGATATTGATGACGATTATCAATTAAAATAATTTTTCTTCCATGAGCAAGTTGCATATTGAAATCATTTTGATTAAATCCATACTTAAAACATAATCCATATGGCAATGTCCGTCGTACAGTGGTAATGTTAATGGCAAATGGTATTTCTTTTTACATGAACATATGTTGTAAAAACTGTTTTCACAAGTAGCATTCATTTTTCAAAATAATCTGAAACTAACACAATAAATCGACCACTAGAAAAGAAGAAGAAGAACAACTATTTTATAGATACACTTTAAACAAACGGCCGTGTTTGACATCAGTCCAACGATAAAACAAGGTTAAGCATATCCCATTGTCAATTAGCCTGTCAAACAATTAGACGATCATTACCATACAACAAATCAATGATCATCAACGATCTCCAATTATCAATTCTCATTAATCACAATACACTTGCTAATCTTCGACAGTCACTTTCATTTCATCAAGACTCAAATCCTATGTCTACGCGACATGGTAAATTTCTTTGTCCTATCATCTTTAAACTCAATATAATCAAATATGGATAGATAGTTCAGTTTTTCATCATATCGATTAGAATTAATATGAACAACTGATACTTCGATATCATTTCGAGTAAATACAAATGCGAAACTTTGTAAATTTCCATTGAAGTTAATAACAATAGTTAGTTTTTATCATATAAAAAAGAAAAATCATTAAAAAAAGTAAAATAAGAACATTCAAGAAATAATAGAAAAAAAATCTTATAAACATATGTTAGCGTCAACAGATGACACTATGTCGACGCTAACTTAATTGAACTTCGTTCAATTGGTTCCTTCTTATTTTCTCATTTGTTGGTGTCTTTTCTTTCGTTCTGTAATTAATTGGATTTTCCTCTTTCGTTCGTTCAATAATAAGATTTTTCTTTTTCGTTCTGTCTATCTCTCTCTTTAGCATTTTCTCAGATTTTGATATAGTTGAGTTGTTATTTTGTTTTGGTGGAGAGCAGTAGCATTCACTACTACTTCACTTGTGTATGTTTTTTCGTCTTCCTCAAATAAATAGTCCATTTGAACTGATCTCATGTCCCCTCCTGAATTGATCACGTTTGTTCCTGAACGTAAGGTAAGACCCCCAATATCCTATTATTACATCACCCATGAACTGTTGACCTAACAACATAGATCAGCCATATTCATTCAATCTGTCTTGTCCCTCTTACTTACAATTTCTAAACATAATATCGAATGCTTGTATTTAATTTGGTTTTATGTTGTGAGAAGTGCTCTACCTTGATACCAAAGTCGATACCCTCCACATAAATACAAATAAGTTATCAACATTAATCATTGGTAATGTCAGTTGCTTTCGACAATCTCACCTTTCTTATTTGCATTTTCTCAGATAATATCGAATGGAATTTCATTTATTTCTCATCAATCTTACCTTTCGTATTTATAATTTCTCAAACAATATCTAGTGTACAGACTTATTCTGGTTTATGTTTTGAGAAGTGCTCCACCTTAACACCAGGATCAACACCCTCCACATTAATAAAAATCAGTTATTAACATTAATCATTAGTAATTTCATTTATTTTCATCAATCCTACCTTTCGTATTTATATTTTATTAAACTATCTAATTTACAGACTTATTCTCGTTTATGTTGTGAGACGTTTTCCACCTTAACACCAAGGTCGACACCCTCCACATAAATAAAAATGAGATATTAACATTAATCATTAGTAATGTCGATTGTTTTCAGCAACCTTACCGTTCTTGTGTATATTTTCTCAAATGATATTGAGTAGAGTTTCATTTATTTTCATTAATTCTACCTTTCGTATTCATATTTTCGTAAACAATATCTAATGTATAGACTTATACTAGTCTATGGTGTGAGAAGTGTTCCACCTTAACACCAGAGGTCGACACCCTACACATAGGTACAAATGAGTTATTAACATTGCTAATTTCATTTATTATTTTTATCAATCTTACTTTTCTTATTTATGTTTCTCAAAATAATATCGAGTAGAATTTCATTTATTTTCATCAATCCTACCTTTCGTATTTATCTTTCATATTTACATTTTCTCAAACAATGCCTACGATAATTTCATTTATTTCATCAATCTTACCTTTCATATTTGTATTCTCTTGAATATTATCTAGTATAATTTCATTTATCTATTTGTATTTTCGCGAATGATATCTACTACAATTTCATTTATTTTCATCAATATTACCTTTCGCACTTATATTTTCTCAAAGAATATCAAGCACGATTTCATTCATTTTTATCAATCATACACTTCGTATTTGTGTTCTCTCGCATATTATCTACTACAATTTCATTTATTTTCATCAATCTTACATTTCTTGTTTATATTGTCTCGAACAATGTCTAGTATAATTTCATTCATTTTCATCAATCTTACATTTCGTATTTATATTCTCTCGAATATTATCTAGATAAAAACTTGTTCTAGTTATTATTGTCGGTAGTGTTCCATCTTAAATAGGAAGAATAATAATTACAATAAAAACAACATCACAAACAACAACATTAACAAAATTATAAACAATAACAACATAAACAACATCATAAACAATATCAATGTATTTTGTAATATTTCATTATCTTATTGTTAAATTTAAATTTAATTTGGATTTTAATTTAATAACAATAAAAAGAAATTTTCATAATGTCATTGCTGATGATGTGTTCAGTCCGAACACGAAAGCTCGGATCCCTATCTTTTATTTCTGATTGAAATAAGATTTTCTATTGATTTTCACAGCAGTTCTCTCTTTCTTTTCTTATCTTTTACCTACTGCTCTCTCTCCTAAACTGACTTAAAATTATATTCCAAGGAACTGAATAAAATTATTTCTTTGTTTGGTCTATACTGTCATGCTCTGATTCTTTTCATCACAGATACGATAACCGACATTTAATTCAAAGTCATAATATTGTTTAATTCGTATTTCGAATTAATTTATCAAAGGGAAAAATTCGGATAGATAATAAGGAGAATTTTTTCATGATAAAATGATGAAGACCGTGAATTTATCTCACTTGAAATCAGTTTCCAGTTGTCTAAAAATTTTGTTTGCCATCATCTCTAGAATAAAGCCGTGAAAATAGCGGAAACTTTGCATTAAGGGGGACCCTCCCCCCCCCCCCCCCCAAAAATCCAATTTTTTTCAGAAAAATCGATTTTTAGATAAGCACATATACTGAAAGCCCAAAGTGTCCTCTTTCAGATTGTGTATGATTTGTTGCATTTTGAAAGGTTTTGAGTGGTGAAAATAGCGGTTTTCTGGGAGCACTGGTAGAAATATAAGGTTTTATCAGAAATTTTTTTAGTTAGGGAGATGTGGCAGTGGTCAACAAACTTGTAGATTTTGGTTAAAGAAAAACACATATACGTTCTGCTATATTAATTAATTAGAGGAACGTAGTCATTTCTGCTTAAAATCCTGTATACTTGATGAAATTGCCGTATAGAGGTCGTGACAGTCATAGTGAAATTAAAAATTGTTTCATACAAACTCGTTGTTTGGTTTTCTCAAAATCACTTTTTTGAAGAGTTAGGAACCGATTTCTCAGACTGTAGAAGAGGTAGAGAGCTACCGTTTTTTTTAAATAAAAGAAGAGACCTATGTCTAGAAATGTACATAGCGTTTTTTTGAAATTCGATTTCCTTGTCGAGATAACTGAATAACAGTGATGTCAAAAAACGCTAAGTTCCGAATTATTGCAGAAAAATGTCTCGGAAATCCGAACAAAATCGAATTTGGAGAAAACGGTATGTACATTTGTAGACTCAAGTCTTCTCTTTTATTTAAAACAAACGCTAGCTCTCTACCTCTTCGACAATCCGAGAAATCGGTACCCTACGAAGACCACCATATTGAGGACTAATTTGTCAATTACTCGTTAAAACAAAAGTCTTATGAATGAAAAATTTGTAAGAAATTAAGTTAACGCAACACATAGATTCCCTGAAAATTTCAGCCAAATCAGTCCACGAATAACGAAAAGTGATTCCTGAGAGGGGGGAGTCCCTTAATCCGAAACTCGATTAGATTGGAATACAATTTTGCCATGTAGAAAAAAAAAACTCCTTTTGCATCTAAAAGCTCTAACTACATTCGATCAAAAACAACTTGTGATTTCTAATAAGTATGTAGTTCGTGAAAAATGTTTTAAACTTTTCATTGACATTTTCCGACGTTTTCTATTTTGCAACTCCGGAAAGTCCGATTTGATTCTTCTTTGAAAAACTCGTCTCGATAAGTGGTGAGATCTTTTCGCAAATTAAGAACTATTAATTGAATGAAAAGATAGTACAACAAATAAATGATACACAAATATAATATTAAGAGTAGAATATTTCTTATGTAAAGTATCAGAGAGAAATATGATAATTTATTTTAATTTATATTCGATAAATTACGAAAAGTTAACAATTTATATTTAAAATAAATATAAATTATCAGTAATTTACATTTCTAATAAATGTAAATTATTTTATTGCAAAATTTACATTTACAAATAAATGTAAATTACGAAAATTTACATTTATTTCTAAATATAAATTATGAGGATTTACATTTATTCGTAAATGTAAATTGATACCCCTACCTATGATAGTTCGGACACGTGACACCTTGAGTGTGTTCAGAATAAAAGAGCAAAAGAACGACGAAGTCGTAATATAGGTAAGTAATAAGCGTAACTTGTTTCTTTCCTTCGAAGGTTTTTGGTTTCTTGTTATGAATACAAGAAATGAAATACAAAGAAAAAGCATTCAGTCCAAAATCGATGATAGAAAACGAATTTGATTCATCATTCATTTTCTTTTTCGTTTTTCGTTTCATTTAACTATTCTTGTTGTCTAACAAATATGAACTAATTATTCATTATTTAGATGTCACCGTTTAAAAGAAAACCAACAGCTGATAAAGCTGTTGTAAGTGGTGGTGATTCGTCTATGTTTGATATAACACTTGATCAACTTAAAGAACTTATGGAAGTACGAGGAAAAGATTTAATGGAAAAACTTAATTCATCTGAATATAATGGTGTTAAAGGAATATTAACAAAATTAAAAGTTGATGGTAATAAAGGTCTTGATTCAAATAATCAGCAAGATTTTGAACAACGTCGTACAGCTTATGGAAAAAATGAAATACCACCTAAACCAATGAAAACATTTTTCAGATTATGTTGGGATGCACTTCATGATATGTTATTAATTATATTATTAATATGTGCTGTTGTTTCAATTGGTCTATCATTTTATAAAGCACCTAAAGAAGGAGACGATGGAAAAGAAGATGAACGTGAGCATAACATAAGATAACATCTTTTGAATTTTACCTAAATAGATGAATAAAAGAAGAGAACATCGATTGATGTTTTTGGTTATCAAAATAGATTTGTATTAATCATAACAAATGATGTCATTAATGATTGATTTGTTAGTACACTTTTTTACTTCGCTCTTTTGACTTTTCTCTCATCATTATGTATGCAATGAACTCTGTGCATAAAACATTATTACCTTTGAAAATTTTCTTAAGAGGATTACATCAAAACACGTTGACGAGTTTCATAGTTGGCAGTTCTTATAGTACACTAACAAAAAAATTATGTACAAACGTCATATTATATTACTAATGCAAATTAGTGCTTGCACATAAACACAATATCAAACTCATGATAATAATAAAACAGATGTCATTGAATACAAAAGAACAAAGCAAATATATTATTTTCGTCAAGGATTATCGTGAAGTCATGCTTTGATATTGGCTAAGCGTCACATAAAGATAAAAAAAGCTATGTTCGATTAGAATTATATATTTCCATACATTGATAAAAAGATCTATTAAAGAATTTAGACCGGATAATGGAAGCATGATTTTATTCTTGTCTCTTTGCCTGCTTTTGGTAAAAGAAAATATACAATAAAGATACAACAGATATTTGTTTGATTGAGAATATATTCATTTATCATATAAAAATGAATTAAATTATTATTTTAAGATTAAAACTAAAAGAACATTATGACCTAATTGAGTTTATTTTATCTATGAATGATATAGCAAATAACCTCACAAAAATTTTATTAAATCTAAATAAATAAATTTTATTTTAGCAAATATTGAATGGATTGAAGGTGTAGCCATTCTTGCTGCTGTTCTTGTCGTTGTAATTGTAACTGCGTTCAATGATTGGCGAAAAGAACGTCAATTTCGTGGATTACAAAATGAAATTGAAAAAGATCAACAAGCATCTGTTATACGAGATAATGTTATAAAACAAATTCCTATTGCAGAACTTGTTGTTGGTGATCTTTGTTTTATTAAATATGGTAAAAATGATAGATTAACAATTCATTTCTTGGTTTGTGTTTTTAATAAAAATCTTCTTTTTTAGGTGATCTCGTACAAGCTGATGGCTTAATTATTCAATCAAGTGATCTTAAAATTGATGAATCATCTATAACAGGTTCATAGACTTATTTAAATTTTGTGAAACACGATCTAAAAGGAATGTTGAAATACAGAGGTAAAAATTTGGACCATCCCTCCGCTGTTGGTATTTAGGCGAACATTAGATGAAAACTTGAAAGTGTACTTTCTGATGATTTACATAGGACTACATATTTTCTGACCTATGGATTAATTATTTAATGAGATAAAAGTCTTTGTTCCTCTTGTTAGCATTAGTCGGAAAACTTCGTCGAAAAACACCGCTAGTAAGCATTAGGAACTTTTTTTTTTGTTAAATAAAAACATAAGGAGAAAACATCCCAGAGGAAATTATATATAATCTAAAACTGTGTTTTTCATTCTATCGATTCGTAAAGAAAACTTTCGCTTTTATCTATTTGGAACTCGAGAAAAATCATTCTTCTTTAATATTAAGTACTTTTACAGAAACATGTGTTCTGTATAATGACCTGACACAACTTTCCACAACTCCAAATTGGACGAGACTTCCATAGAATATCTCTAAACCCATAACACCGATATAACGTTAGCGCGAATCAACGTGAGCGTTCTACAGCTGAGCTATAGGTTTTCTAGAAAGCCCTCAGCTTTCAGGATAAAACCCATTTTTCTCAACATAGAAACATTTTTATTGAAGACTACATATCTCGATCAACATCGAACGATGTATAATTTATTAGTCTTCTTGTAAAAAGAATTTTTTCACGTATATAAAGGGTAAGAGTCTTTCACAGTGATTTTTCAGTAAAAACAAGTTTTTTTTATCGGATTTTATTTTTTCAGATTATCTTAATATTTGAGAAATGATAAAGCAACATTGAGCACAAAATAAAGTCTTTCTAAGTCCAGAAAAGACATGTCTGCCTGATCTATGAAAAAATGTCCAGAGACCATCACTGATCGTGACAGACATTGATATACGATGATAGACCGTATATGAATAACGTCTCGTTATAATATAATAACTAAAGCCATCGACACATTAGAAGACTCCCGGTATTCTATTCTGTCTTATCGTTCACAAGTTACAAAGGGAATCTTCTATTATGTCTTTTAAAAAAGTCATATTTTTGCTACCCTCAACGCTATAATTTTTACAAAAGTCTTTTTATGCTAATTATGTTGCTACTAAACGTTTATTTCATTTTTCTACGCTAGTACAGCTAACAAAAACAGTTTATATTCTATTATAAAGAATAGGGTGTGGGTGTGGATGTAAATTGAAGAACTAGATCAACACCCACACCCTCTTTCTGAATCAGATTCTTGATCGATGTGATCATGATCGATATTTAATGGCAGTAGATAAGAATTTGTGACTAGATCATAATCTGTAAGAGATGTTTTATGCTTATTTAGTTATGAAAACAATGATATAGCTGGCTGTTCGTGAAAAGAAAAGAATATAAATGAAAAATAACTGAACTTAGTCATAACAGACATTGTTTTTCGCATGCCATATAAATATGTCTTTTAATTACATTTTATATTATTCAAGTACAGACCACCTTGAACGTCAGAAAGAGTAGAAAAATATTTTTGAAGCGAAGCTTAGAAATACATAAGTGAATTGCAACTTTTTGATACCATTGAGATTTTAGATGTATTTGGCTAATAACTTTTGTTTCCGTTAATCGATTTTGAAAATTTTTTGTATGTTACTACAATGGCTGAGTGTCCCACTGCCATACCTAATTTCAGCTCTTTAGCTCATACTGTCGCTGAGTTATGAGCCGTATACTATGAAAAAATCGTATTTTATCGTGAGATGTACTAAAAACCGAAATTATTGAAACATCGAAGGAAAAGAAAAAAAAGATAATGAATAGTTAATTTTGCAGAGCATGAAATGTTCTGTCGAAATATATACCTTCCTCGCTTGTATCCTTTTCTTTCTATGATCTTTCGTCTGCGACACTCTATGACAAACAGTTTGCCATTTTTGTGTAGAAAGACGCTGTACTTCAATTTTCTTCGAAGGCACACAAGTTGAAGGAAAACGAAGGTATCCAAAAAGTGAAGAACTTGATTAGCACATACCTGACAAAAAAATCATTTCGTCTTAATGATTTTTCTCTCTGAGAAAAAAAAACATCTTTTTCTATAAAATCGATATTCACTCATTTTTTAGAAGGTCATTTTGAAAATTCAAGTGTAAATAACTCGTGAACGACTCGTTTTTTTTTCGGTCAATTTTTTACCGCAGATATACTTTTTAGAGTTGTATAACTAGCCAAAAACTTAGCTGTCTATCTCTTATGGTTCTCGAGAAATTTGCATTATATAATAAAATGTAGACTGACTTCTTCTTTTAGAAATTTGTACTGAAATTACATTTATTACAGTTGTATGATTAGTTAAAAGTTCAGCTTTGTATCTCTTCTGTTATGGAGAATTTTACAAAATATGATGCAATGTAAAAGGGCATTTTTCATTAAATTAACGTTTTTTATGGTACATTTACATTGAAGTAAGTCGTATCTCAGTAAATATGTAGTAAAGTGTTGGGAAACTTTTGTTGTGTAGCATAGGCATAGAGTGTAATAAAATGCACTGCTCAAAAATTATTTAGGTCTATTTCCAGTTTTTCGCACCAATCGTATCAAAACGTTGCAATTCACTCATATATAGAAACAATAAGTATAAGCATGATAGAAAAACTAAAAAAACAACGGTTGGGGGGGGGGGTCTTCTAATGCGTCGAAGGCTTTACTTCCTTATTGAATTTGATGATGAAGAGATGTGTCCAAAAATAGATTGAATAAAACAATCTCTCTATGATCAACAACAGCAACTACATCATGTTTCATATTTTAATCCCACAGAGATTGCCTTAACAACATTTTATTTAAAAAATTAAAATATTCATTATAGGAGAAACGGATTTAACGAAGAAAAATGAGACAGAAGAAATTGGATGTTTATCAGGCACACATGTTATGGAAGGTAGTGGTCGAATGGTTGTTGTTGGCGTTGGTCTTAATTCACAAGTCGGTAGAATTATGAGTTTACTTGGTGCAACAGAAGACGATTCTAAAAAGAAAAAGAAAAAATCTCCAAAACCTAAATCATTATCATCATCAAAAGTATATCCTGATAAATCGGAACAAAATGAAAATGAACATAATACTGACACGGTACATATAGAAAATGAAAAAAATCAATCAACAAAAAAACATCCACGTATTCATAAATTATTGTCATTAAACCAAAAAAAAGATAATGAACAAGACATGAAACCAACGAAAAAAGAAAATCATAATAATAATAATGAACAAGAAAAGAAATCAAATAATGATGATAAACAAAAGAAAAAATCTACTGATAGTGATGATGAAGAACAAAAGAAACAATCGCAAGCAAATAAACAAAAACAAGTTAATAATCAATTAACAATAGCATCATCTATGGAACGAAATGCTCCGAATGACAATAAAAATAAATCCGAAGAGAAACCAGAAAATAGTCAAAATACTAAAGAAGATACTGAAAAGAAACCGACTGAATTAGCTGAAGCTGCCAAAAATGATGATAATGAAAAAGGTGAATCAAAGGATACTAAACATAAATGTAAGTAAAACAAACAAAAAAACAAATAATTTGAATTTAAAAATATATTATTTCAGCTGTTCTTCAAACAAAATTAACAAAATTAGCTCTTTATATTGGTTATATTGGTATGGCTGCTGCTCTTTTAACATTAGTTTGTTTAATTATTCGTTTCTGTATAACAACTTATGTTGTTAAAAAACAAAAAGCCAAAGCAAGTGATGTTAGTTATTTTATTTCATTTCTGATTCAAGCTATTACCGTCGTTGTTGTTTCAGTACCAGAAGGTTTAATTCATTTATTTAACAACTTCTGATATAATGATATTTTTTGTATACATAGGTCTACCATTAGCTGTTACACTCGCTCTTGCCTATGCTGTTCGAGTTAGTAGAACAAACATAGTTATTAAATTTGATTATTATTTCATTTTATTTAAATAGAAAATGATGACCGATAACAATCTTGTCCGACATTTAGATGCTTGTGAAACAATGGGCAATGCATCAACAATATGTTCAGATAAAACAGGAACATTAACAACAAATCGAATGACAGTTGTACAATGTTATATTAATGGTAGGTCCATATTATGATCTTGGTCTATTTCGCAGTCGTTGACCTCCTTTCCCTAGATTATATTTTTTATTCATTATTACTCATTCATATATATTTTGTTTTTCTAAGGAAAACACTATGAACAAATACCAAAACATGAAGAAATGAATCAAGATTTATTAGGACTCCTTTTCGAATCTATAACTGTTAATACAAATTATACATCAAAAATAGAGGTAAGAATAATTATTTCAAAATTATTTATTAAAGTTTACTTTTAGGAATCAAAAGAAGATGGTAGTGGTTTACAAAAACAAATTGGTAATAAAACTGAATGTGCTTTACTTGATTTAGTACGACAATGGGGTGGATCCTATGATGAAATTCGTGAAAAAATTCCTCAAGATGATTTAGTTAAAGTATATACATTTAATTCTGCACGAAAAATGATGAGTACAATAATTAAACATGATGATGGTTATCGATTATATACAAAAGGTGCATCAGAAATGGTTTTAACTAAGTACGAATTAATAAATAAATTATTTTATTTTGTTTTATTTTATTTTATTTTTTTGATTAAAGATGTAAATCAATTATTGGTGAAGATTATAAATCAAAAGATGTAAATGATGATGAAAAAAATAAAATAACACATGATATTATTGAAAAAATGGCTAATGAGGGTTTAAGAACAATTTGTATTGCATATAAAGATCTTGGCAAAGAAACACAAAATTGGGATGATGAAGATAAATTTGTTAATGATTTAGTATGTATTGCTATTGTTGGAATTGAAGATCCTGTTCGTAAAGAAGTAAGTTTATTTGAATAAACTTTTTTTTCTTAATCGAATTATACATATTGCTATTAGGTACCAGAAGCTATTGAAAAATGTCAAAAAGCTGGTGTTGTTGTTCGTATGGTAACAGGTGATAATCTAACGACAGCTCGTTCAATTGCAACAAAATGTGGTATAATCAAGCCAAATGATGATTTTCTTGTACTTGAAGGAAAAGAATTTAATAAACGTATTCGTGATTCATCAGGAAAGGTTAGAATAAATAAAAATTTCGAATTCTTTTTTGTTTTTAAATATTTATTTTTAAATTTATATTTTGTTTAGATTTCACAAGAGAAACTAGATGAGATATGGCCAAAATTACGTGTTTTAGCACGTTCATCACCACAAGATAAATATAATTTAGTTAATGGTATTGTAGAAAGTCGAGCAACACAACATCGAGAAGTTGTTGCTGTCACTGGGGATGGAACAAATGACGGACCAGCATTAAAACGTGCTGATGTTGGATTTGCTATGGTAATTTAAAACAATTAATAGATTATTTTTTAGATTTATCCGTATTCATTTCTCAAATACTATTTCATTCAATATCGAGAATACTTTTGAATATAATTTTAGAGAAGACTTTCTATATAACAAGTAAATATCAAAAGAGAAAAGTTATAAGTAAATTCTACAATCTAGTTGTATATAAATCTGTGTTGAATCAATACTTCATAAATAAATAGCTTCAAATTTTGTTTTCAATAATCGTATTATTTGTAAATACAGTAACTAGTCGTCGTAATAATCACTGCTCATAAGTGTCTAAAATTTAATATTCCTAACGAAAACGACGAACATGCACTTGTGAAGAACAATAAATAAGACTTAAAAAAAATAATTTTTGAGTTTCAATATAATCGTCATAGGTATACTATGTTACTCCGAAGTGTAATCGTGAAATGAAAAATAAAACTTGTCTTATCCATATTTTATATATATGAACAGATCATATTATTTCATTGAATAGAAATCAAATATTACTTTTTTATCTATCTTTTAGGGAATTCAAGGAACAGATGTTGCAAAACAAGCATCGGATATTATTTTAACTGATGATAATTTTTCATCGATTGTTAAAGCAATAATGTGGGGACGAAATGTTTATGATTGTATTGCAAAATTTCTTCAATTTCAACTTACTGCTAATGTATCAGCAGCTGCCGTATCAGTTGTTTCAGCTGCAGCTATTAGTGTATGATCTATATTCTCATTTCTTTGATGAAACATAATCTAAAAATGAGTCTTAAATAGAGATGTGCGGGACTGAGACTACCAGAACAAAGTTGTTCCAACTGGAACTAAAGATTATAGTTAAATATTCTATGGTTTTAAGTGAATTATCTTATAAATCATATCAATCAGAACATAAGCCAAGAGAGATAACAGAAAAAAAAAGTACTAGTCGTCGACTAAATAAATCAAAAAACGACTATTGAAGAATTTTTCAGATGTAATAAGAATAAATTCTAGAATAGTTTTCTCTAAACCGGGTCCAAGGCCGAGACTGAGATCAAAAAAAAAACAAAAATCATCGGGACCAGGACCAACAGAAAAGAAGCTACTGGGACTGGATCGGCGGAAAATAAGTTATCGGGACTGGAACTAAAAAAACTTGGCCCTATACATCTCTAGCGGTGAAGAAGTATACAGGTAGAAATCTGGACCCCACATAGATCGTGACAAACACTTTAGTAACGTCATTGTCCATCGCAGTATGTAGCAGATGTAGCCACAGAACTAAAACCTTCATTAGAATTATTATGAGAGAAGATTGAATTTAAGATACCTGTCTTTGTCCCTCTTGCCAAGCACATTGTAACATATAACGAATAGCAATTTTCATCACGGACATATGAGTGCATTGGAAGTCCCAAACTGAAACATATCTTGCAGAATTCTCGAATGTACAATATATGCAGATCAATTTTGTTTCACATTCTTTATGTGCAAAGATTGTGCTAACAACTTTTTCCTGTTTAGAAAAGTGTATGTTTTTCTTTTTCTAGAGTGTTCCATTACGCGCTGTTCAAATGCTTTGGGTTAATCTTATTATGGATACATTAGCATCATTAGCATTAGCTACAGAATCACCAACAGAAGAATTATTAAATCGAAAACCTTATGGTCGTACAAAATCAATCATATCACCATTAATGTTACGTAATATTCTTGGTCAATCTTGTTATCAACTTGTTATTATGTTTATTATACTTTATGCTGGACAACATTTTTTGGGTGTTGAATCAACTGTTGAAAAACTTCAAAATTATCCGCAGGCTGGAAAAGAATTAAGTGCACAATTTACTATGGTATTTAATGCATTTGTATTAATGACTTTATTTAATGAAATTAATTCAAGAAAATTACATGGTGAAAGAAATGTATTTAAAGGAATGTTTAGAAATCCAGTTTTCTATGGTATTTTGTTATTCTGTTTTGGTGCACAAGTAAGAAAAGAGATGAAATAGAAAAATTTATATTTACATATCAATTTTTCAGATTATAATTGTTACTTTTGGTGGTAAAGTTTTTAGTTGTGCAAGATTAGATATTAAACAATGGGCATGGAGTTTCCTTTTCGGTGTTGGATCACTCATATGGCAGCAGGTTTGTAATTCGATTGTTGCTAAAGTTATTCTTATAAGTTAGTTATAATTATTTAGATTCTTTTATTCATCCCAGTTGAACCATTCAGTAAATGTTTTTCAGCTTTATATCGTATTTGTTGTCCATGTTGTTATAAAAAGCAAAAGAAAACACATGGAGAAGAAGACGAAACAGAATATGGAAAATCTGATAGTAAAAGTGACACGAAACGATTAACGAAAAAGATTGATGAACATGATCGAGATGATATTGGTGGTGAAATAATTTCGAAATATTCTACAATTGGTCAGTTAACTAATGCAACAGTTGTTACTGAACCACCGCCAGCATTTGCTAGATTTATGCTACGAAAAAGTGTTGATCGACTTCATTCAGAGGTTTGTTTTTGTTTTTCGGTTATTATTCTTTTTCTTCTTATGAATTGTTCTTTTTTAGTTTCGAGCTATAACTCAATTTCGATCACGACTCGAAGAAGTTCAAAAGAAAAGACGTGAAGATGCTATTGAACATAAACGCCATAGTCAAGATAATATTCTTGATGCATAATGGTTAAAAGACGTGCTACAAATTTCTCTATTTGCTTTTTTTTTTAATTCTTTTCTTTATTTTGTACTGTTTGTTTTGCATAAAAAATGCTCTGCCATTCTAATATCAAGGAATAACAAAAAAAAATAAAAACAAACAAAACATTTTTTTTCCTTATTTGATTTTTTTCTCGCATGCTCTTTATTGTTCTGTTTGCATTCATCGTATACATAAGTGATGATGTTTACGATCCATGTTTTTTTCTAAATTATCATAGGGCAGCTAGTCTTCTTAGCAACAACAAGATATACCATATACATTCATGATAGAATGACATTAAGTTATGTAAAAGAATAATTTTAACAATATAATGTAAAACCTCGAGGCAGATGAAAAGTGACAGGCACAAGCTCATAAAATATTTGATTATTGAAACACAAAATTAAATTCGGTTTAATCGTCTCAAAAAATAAAAAAAATCTTTTTGTAACATAATCTTTTCTGAGGTCAAATTGCGGAACTCTAATAAGACAATGAAATTAACGAAGAAGAATAAGATAATATCGTTTTAATTTCAGCTTGCATCGATTCTTGACTGATGTTATTTTTTACATGTGAGATTAACTTGAAAATTTATATATTGTTCACAGTTGGACACTGATTAATACGATATTAAATATGATACACCTGTTGAATAGCGAGAGAAACGTCATTCATTCGAAATTCTCCATCTTGTTACGGTAGATGTCAACATATATGAAATCTTTTTTTGTAATATGGTATGATGCGTTCTTATCATGTGGTGTCTCAAACACATTGCGGATAAAAAAATACAATAAAAATTATTCACTCAACTGCAGAGCAAGCGACAGTGGACTAAACATAATGTTGTTTTTTTCATTCCCATCCACACATATTTTCAGTCAAGCTTACTTGAAATGAATTTTAACAGAAACTACATTCCAGTTCTGTTTACTATTGTTCGAATTTTGTAACAACCAAAATACGAATTACAAATATTTACCATTCAAGTGTTGTGCCACGATGGATAGTGTTTTTCAAGCTTCAAAATGGGTTTTAATTGTTCATTTCAGTAGAAAGTCAAGCAATGTACAAAATCAAATATTATGAATCATTTAATTAAGGAGATTATAAGTCATCGTTTCATTTTTTTCCCTTCTTAGTCTTCATAATATATTTCGTCAATTCCGAGGAAAATTCTAACCATTGTTTTATCGATGAATCATTCTTACGCAATCAATTTATTGATTCATTAGTTTTTTTCCTCCTTCAACGACATTTCTATGAGTCCTTTAAAAAACAGAACTACAAAAATGATGACATATTTTTGCAAAAGATAGACAGATTTTGTTGTTGCTTTTTACTTTTTCTCTTGACGCTAGCATTAATGGCGTATGTAATGGCTTGTGTCATTGAAATATCTACAAGTCAGTAACTCTATGCAGCACGTGTAATGCGTCATCATTTCAAAGATGAGGTGAGAGTTTATTTTCCGACTGTTTTTTCCTCAGATGGTTGAATACAGCTCAGTAGGTTGTATATGATGACTTACTTATATATCAGTCAAAATTAAACAGAGTGTGTAAAATATTTCGAAATTGAAAACGGTGAGAATAAAGAAGTAACCTTATATGTCTATATTAAGTTCTATTTAGCTTTAATTCCATGCTAGTTAAATCTAGGAAGTTGTAGAGCTCGCCACTGTTTTCTATTGAAGTTTTGTTTGTTTTAACACACTTCTGCTAAACAAACAGAAAAGGGTGTGGGTGTGTGGATGTGGGTGGGTGGGGGTGTGGGTGTGGGTGTGAAATTACCCACACCCACACCCACACCCCACACCCACACCCACACCCACACACCCACACCCACACCCACCCACACCCTACTCACACACCTCACCCATATCTGCGCCGACATGCACACACATCACCCACACTGACATCTGTGCCGACACCCACTCTACACCCTCCCTCAAGTGTTCCAACTGAAAATTGTAGCTCTTCGAATAACCGGATTAAAATTATTCCTTACTTCCCCTAACAGCAAGGGCACGAATCAATATTTGGACGTTCCGAAAAAAATAAAATTCAGTGTAAGTTTTTATTTCGTTCGTGAATCAAATCCGGGATGCGCTGGGGTTTCGAAACAACAATATAAAGGTGTGGATGCAGATGTCGGTGTTAATTTCAAAACTATGAACACTAACACCCACGCCCATTCCGCTCAAAAGTATTCTTTTTTCTGACTCAATCTTATTCTCACTCATGATTTTTCTAATTATTCTTCGAAGCTGGTAATTGATCATTAGTATTTGTCACGTTCGGTGATGGTAGTCTATTAAATAATGTTTGAGCTGATGGTGTTTCATTTATCGGTGGTATTGTCAATGTTCCGAGACGATTTACAAGTGATACAGATGCTTGTTGAGATTGTTGTTGTGCTCTTCGTTCTGCTTCTTGTTTAATGACTAATTGTTGAGTATGCATAGGTAATCCAGGATTAAGACTCAATACATATGGTAACAAGGTTTTCGGTATATCATCAAAATCAACCAGGACTTTAATAAACATGGTATCATCTCGCACATATGGATTATTTTCTTGTTGAATCATCGTCAATGGAAAGAATTTCGGTATACCACTAGCAATATTCATTTCGGATCTTGGTCTCTGGAAACTATTTGATTTAATATCAGGTCGAAAAGAGTCGATAATGTGTCGTAGTTGAGTAGTTTGATCATACAAACAAAAGCTAACTTTATAATTGAAAGGGAATTTTAACATAGAATCATGTGGGCCACGCATTAGAATAAAAAATAATGACATGTGTGTACGTCGAGCATTACCATCACCATTAAGATAAAGTCAAAGTCGCATTTTATAGCCGATTGATGAAGAGTAAAATGGAGGTGAATATATTGATGTTTGTCGTTCTGATTGAGCATCCACTAAAAAGATGAATAACTTGATGAAAATATGATATTAAATTGTATTTATTTCTGACGATCTAGAGACTTTCATACAGCACAATTTTTATCCTATTTAACATTGTTGCCGTGTTGGTCCTTAGCAGGTCTTTTTATAATAAATTTTTTTTGGCTATTCCTGTCTGACAGCATTGCTGACTGTGAGAAAACTGATAGATATCAGTTCAAATCGATTAGTCACAATCAGGTCCTCTCATAACAAACCTCGAGAAATGTCATCAAAAACCAATATTTTTTTTATTTATTTAAAATTTATTTAAACAAAACAATCTTCATCCAATTAAAATGTGGTTTCTAAGATTTTTTAACAACTCATCTTATAGATAAGAATAAACTAATCGATCCTAGTGAATTTAAAACTTGTAATCGGTTTGGATCAACCAATAAGACAAATTTTCTTCAGATGAAAATAGTGACCTATAAATTGGTTTTCATTATATTTCTTGACATATTTTCTCACATATTTTCTCACACATTTCCACCAATATTGATCTAAGTTATAATTCTTTTCTGTTTCAACTAGAAATCTTGCCAGTTTTCAGCAAAATAGAAATAGATATATTATATGATACATTGAGGTAATGCACACTTGAGTATAGAACACTCAGAGTTCTTCGAATTGAGGCAAATAAGCGATTGTTTTTCATGATCGCAGACTTTCAACACAGTAATTAAATCAAGTTATTAGACATCAGTAAAATTAATCATAACTTTTCCCTTTTATTGCTGATATAATGTCATCAGGGTGGAAATCTCTGTCTTATTCTGCCTTCAAATCAGAACAAAAGAAAATAGTTTTGCCCTTCAGGAAAGTAGTATTCTGACCATCATCGCTGTGTTAATGAAACTAAAAGATTTAAATGCATGTTTCCAACTAATTTAATCTGAAAAACTTCAAGAAAGTTCTGTTACTTTTACTGATAAATTTAGAATTATTATCAATGAAAAACTGAATTATCTATTCGAATAATACTATTGTATTTTTTCTGATTGACCTTACTCATTTTTTCATGAAAGTTCATTATTTTCCATATAAACGTTCCATCATAAGATACATATTGTATGTCATCAATTTTTTGTTTCAATGAAGCAATATCTTGTTGTAGAATTTCTTGATTGGGTTTAACACCATCTATAAAAGAACTTTGTTCTTGAACACTCAATTTTATTGATGAAAAATCTTGTGTTAAAGATTCAATGGAACTTTGTAATCGAATCGATTCACTAGAAAAACGTTGTATATCGTCATTTAATATTTGAATTTCATTTGCAAGAATATTTGTTATTTCATAGGTTTTTTGCATTTCTGTACTAACTATTGTAGTAGAAGCACCTTGTCCGATATCGATATCCATTCCAGATACTTCTTCTTGTTGTTCATTCATTTTTCTAGATATTAACCGACGTATAAAATTAACTATTGTTTTTTGATGAGTGTCACTCAAATAATGCTCTGATAATTGATGTCGACAGATCTAAAGAAATTGTACAATTATCTTTTTTTAATTAATTTAAAGAATTGATATAGACAGATAATGGAAACAAATTCGACTTTGTAAATTTAACACTTCATATTTTATCTAAATGAAATATAGAATTTATCGATAATTATCATTGGTCTAGACAGAATAGTAAGAAAAGAATCCATGTAATTTGAATCTAGATATGATTCAATCGACATATAATTATTTCCTTTTCTTTGGTATGTTGCAGATGCTTTGTCTGCAAGATTTCAACTTACTGAATCTAAACAACCATAATCTTTAAGTGCACAAGGTACAATAATTCTGTGACATTCTTTTTGCTTGTGTTCGTCAAGTCGAGTTGTTGAATTAAAATTTTCTCCACAAAATTCACATATCAAGTTTAGATGAGTATTGTTAAGACGCTCCTGAAATATTTATTCATCGCAAGATAAAAATAAATCAAAAGATTCATTGTGATGCACGACATTTTAAAAAAATATTCTTAGAAACAACCAACGTCAATAATATGAATTAGTATTATAATGAAAATAAATATCATAAATTATTATCTTACATCATAATCCTTATACAAACCATTCCATGAGCACAATGAACATCTAATTGGCAAAGATTTCATATCATTCCTTAAACCTCGATCAGACATTATCTTTTGAAAAGAATAAATTATTTATCTTGAATAGAAATGAATTTCAAAAACTGACTTCATTTTTTGGTGTTACTACATCACATTCTGCACATTTGATAATATTCCTTGAGAAGAGAAATACAATTTTCAAATGAAATTCATCATTTATTTATGTATACCCCTGAATATTTTCGATGCAAGTTTTACATTGACGATGATCGCATAAAAGTTGAAAAGGCTCTCGGAAAATCAAAGCACATAATCAACAAAAGTATATCTGATTGACATTTTCTCTGTTGTCTGCATTAAAACCAATCATTCTTGAACAATGATTTAACATGAAAATTAAATAGCATTAATACACTTAACGAGAAGTATGTACTTGCGTACTTCTTTCTGTATTTTTTAAAATTATTTTCAGTTGACTATATTGAGTATATGTTATTATCTAAAAATGATCGAATTTTTATTCAATAAAATGTTTCAATTCGTGTTCAATAACACTATCATCATCACACTGATCGACATATTCAACGTATCAATCATGTGTAAGAGTGTTACTATACTCCACATGAACCATCTATATGTACAGATAGGCCTGAAAAAGCTTGGGGAATTAAACACAAAGAAGTAGATGAAGAAATGTGGCTGATGCTGGTAGATGGAAATAATAATCAAATTTCTTAACTCACTTCTAAATCTTCTAGTGTTTCTCAGACCCTCTATGAGTTATATTTATTTCACGATCATTTTTTGATAAAATTAAATCTTAAAGTTATGACTTGCTTCAAAAACCCTTACTTAGAGTGAAAAAAAAGATACAGATTTTTTTGATTTCGTTCATTCAAGTACAAACAATCGTGCTATATCACTTATTTGCGCACTATTTTAATAACTGTTATGTACCCCTGGAAAATGTAAGTTAGACTCGGGATCTTTTAACATATCATTGCTATAAATCAGGCCTCGCAGCGGTCCTGATTTCCTGATTTTTGGTGCGTTTCGAAACTAAATAATTTCTCGAGAAAATTTCGGTTTAGTCTCAGTGGATGCGTTTCAGAAATTCTGTCTTCAATTGATGAAGATACTATTTTTTCAATGATTGTGTTTTTCATCTTGTTTGAAGAATAGATAAAGTACTTTATGAACTGAAAAATGTCGGTGAATATATGAAAAAATTCATCTTTTT